CCCCCACCCGCCCGTCATCGTCCTCATCCCTGGCCCTTCTCCTTTGATCTCTTTCTGCCCTTGGCCGCCTTCCCTGAGGCTGGGGTCCTAGACAGCGCCCCAACCCCCGCCCCCAGGGCTTCCAGATGAGGGCATGGGGCCAGGCGCCCCTGCCAGGCTGCAGCCAGCCCAGTCATTCAACCAGCAGAGACTTCTGAGCATCCTCTGTGCTGGGATGTGGGCACAACCCTGTCCCACGGGGACATCCCAGTGCAGGAGACTGACACCAAACAGTACAGGTGGCGGGTGGTGGCACAGCTACAAACAGGATGTTGGGGCAAGGTGTCGGGTCAGGTGGGGTTGGTCAGGGAGTCTGACTGGGCAGGTTCAGGGAGGCAGGCTGTAAGCCAAGCAGAAGTCTGGAGGAAGGTTCTAGATGGGATGGCAGCATGTACAGAGCAGCCTGAGTAGACGAGTGTTCGAGGAATGTGAGAAAGGCCAGGCGGACAGATCAGAGACAGCAAAGATGCAGCTGACCAGTAGGAGGTGGAGTCAGAGGTGATGGGGTCTAGATCTGTCCGTCCAACACCCCCACGTGATGGAGGGAAAGGGACATTACACCCCCCGGGCACGGCTGCCCTGGTGTTGGTGCCACCCCGTCCCACGGCTCCCGGACAGGCCGGGAGTGGCCAGCCTGTAGTCAGTGGGATGCCCCATAGCCCGCACCCCTGCCCGCAGGCTGCAGCCCAGGACAGAGGTTCTGCTGAGGGCCCTCGTCGCAGAGAGAGCCGACTGCCGGGACGCCTTGCTGGCTGCTTGGAGGAAAAACCCCAAATGTGAGTGTGACCCAGGCAGGTGCCCCATGGCCAAGGGCCGGGGAGTGGACTGGATGGGGCTCACCAAGGCCACCCAGGGCTGGCGGGAGGGCCTGCCCTGCAGCGGTGGCCGGACACAAAGCCACTCTGACACTGCCTTCCCGCCTCCTGCAGACCTGCTGGCTGAGTATTGCGCGTGGCTCCCACAAGCCATGCACGCCGACATCGAGAAAGCTTGGCCCCCCACCTCTGACCTCTGACATCATGTCTGGCTGCCAGGCTGAGGACTGGTCTGGGGACCAAAGGGGCTGGCAGTGGCCAGTTTCTGACATGGTCACCCTGAACTGCTCCCAGGAGGCAGGTCAAGCCCCTGGAAACCCTGGTCCATCATGGCCGGATTGCGGACACAGCTTGCCGTATAACTATTTATTACAAGGTGGATAGTGGTGTATCTCACCTGCTTTTAAATGTGCTCTGTGGACTACATTAGTCCCTTGTCGGCCAGTGGGGCTGGGAGCAGGAGGGGGCAGCTGCAGACCTTCCCCCTGGGTCCCCTCCCCCGTGGGAGCAGTGCGCCTTCCCCACTGCAGTGGGACACGAGGAGGGGTCCCCTCCCCGATGGGCAGCCCCTGCCAGCCGCTTTGCTGGAATAAATCTTAGCATATTAGTCCAGAATGTCGTCCTAGTTCGTCTCTGAATGTGGGGTGATCTTGGGGAGTTCTCCCCCGTACACGCGCGCGCACACACGCACACACACGTGCACGTGTGCGGAACTAGGCGGCTGCTCAGCGGAGTGGCGGTGGTGATCTGCCCTGTGAACATGCGGGTCAGGCTGGCTGATTTCCTCTCGGGGATTTTTCCTAAATCAATTTGTGCTACTACCATAATGTAACTGCGTAAGTTCCATGATATAAACATGTAAGTAAGGCAAACCAGCAAAGACATTTAATGTTCCAGAACTCTTGACTTTCCCCACAGCCATGAAGCCGTGTACCCCCAACGAGGAGACCTCTCGCTCTCTCGCTCCTTCTCTCTCTCCTCCCCCCACACACATTCACGCCATCTACAAGTTCTGTCCCTTGTCCAGAGCCCCCTCATGCTGCCCACCTCCACTACCTCCCCCTGCCCTGAGCTGCCTGGGCCACGCTGTGCCTTCCTGGCTGACGCCATGTCCACCCTGCCGGCCCATGGTGTATTTTCCACGTGGCCAGCAGAGGGAGCCTTTAAAACCCGAATCTGCTCTTACTCGCCTGCATCGGGCCTTCCAGTGCCTTGGAGGGTTCAAAGCCCTGCTCCCCTCATTCTGTACACTCCATACACAGAGCACCCCAGTCCCTCAACCTCAGGGCCTTTGCACCTGCCCTTTGCTCTGTGTGCGCAGACAGGCCCTTCACCCTCCCCGTTCAGGGTCCATCTCATCACCCTTACTGTCTTCATAAAAGTTCCCACCACTTGCTCATCGCTAACCCGAACTGGAATATCCAGTCCGGGAGGGCTGAGAAAACTTACCTGTCTTATGCAGGGGCGCAGAGTCCTTGACACTGCCTGGGCACACAGTAGGTGCTCAGCGTGTGCACATTTCCTGGTATTAGGCGCTCAAGAGTCAACCGAATGGAGGGTCAGTTGCAAAGCCCTCCTTAGAAGTCCGCTGTTTTCCTAGCTGCTCGACGGCGTGCGTAACTAGGAGTGCTTGTTCGAGAATGCAGGTTCCGGGGCTCCCGCCACGCCTCTGAACGCGACTCTGCAGCGGTCGAGCCGGGCATCGGGCATTGGGCCCAGGGACATTTGTTAGCGATGCTCTCGCCCAGAGAGCTCCCTTCTCAAGCCAGCTAACAGCGGTCCCCTTCCCTGCCTGGCCTTCCTACCGTGTGGCGGATTTAGAGAGAAAAGGGTAGGAAAAAAACGTGGAGATGCCGGGGATTGAACCCGGGGCCTCATACATGCAAAGCATGCGCTCTACCACTGAGCTACATCCCCTTCCCGCCTCCATCCTGCAGTATAGGAAGCCACACCTTTCCTCGGCTCGCACAGGTTCCCTCTAGGCGCTGGGCGTCTTCATCGGTTCGAGCGGGTCCTTCCGCGCCACGGAGAAGCTTACGTGCCGGGGGCGCCCGGCGCTGGCGACCGCAACCGCCACGCCCGGAGCAGGTAGGTCGGCAGGCAAAGAACGTGCTTTCTATATGGAGCTATCCGTGGCAGTCCGTGCACGCCTCGTCCTCGTTAGTATAGTGGTGAGTATCCCCGCCTGTCACGCGGGAGACCGGGGTTCGATTCCCCGACGGGGAGGCTGGTCACACTTTTTAAGTACGAAAGAGACCTTCCGGGCCTCCCGGGGACAGCTGCGTCGGCGTCCGAGGATACCTGCGCGGCCGCCGCCACCGGGACCGTGCGGGTTGGGGCGCTTCCGAAAGGCGTCCGTGTCCCCGCAGAGCCCTGGGCGAAGGGGGCCGCCGAGCTGTCCCCGAGGGTCCGGCCTCGCCGTGCTCATCCGCACAGGTAGGGGCGCACTCACGGAACCCTGTTTTATCCCATGAGACCGACGACGACGAAGCGCAGGCGCGAAGCACGGCCGTGCGAGTTGCCCGAGGCCACCTCAGTGGTCGCCTCTGGGACCGGATGGCAGCGACTCCTTGACTTTCCTCTCCGGACTGTTCGAATTTTATGTTTCTTTCTCCCTCCCTTCTTTCCTTTTCCCTTTCCCTCCTTCCCTCCTTCCCTTCCCTTCTCCCGCATTGCTTGTGGTCAGAAGGATACCCCTTCTCGGCCGCTTTCAAAGAGCTACTTCCTATGCGTTCATGGAGAGCAGCGCTCGGGGCCCCTGCGGCGGTCCCGGCTCCGGGAGGAGCCCAGGCCAGGCCGCCTTGCCGTGCAGATTACCTCTGACCCTCCACAGGGAACTCAGTTGTCAACCGGGGAAGCCTGACTTGTCGCAGGACAGGGGACCGGGTGTGGACAGCACACCCAGGCGAACTCCGTGACAAGCCGTCAGAACCCCCCACCTACTTCTTTGAAGGCCCATCCGTCTTTCCTAAAAACTATTAACTCTTCCTTTTAAAAAGTACGCGAAACGTTTTTTTTCAATGACAGCTGACATTCGATACTCTATTTGTGTCAAGTGTACAGCATAAGTGGCGAGACCTTGATGCGACTTACGAGGTGAGCCCCCGTGAGTCTAGCACCTGGCGCCGAGTGCGGTTATTACAGTATCGTTGACTGCATTCCCTCTGCTGTCCTCGACGCCCCCGAGACTTTTTATAACTGGCAATTAGTACGTCTTTCTTAGTCCCTTCCCCCTTTTCGCCCATCCCCCCAATCCTTCTCCCGTCTGGCAACCATCAAAACGCTCTCCTTGGATCTGTGATATTAACTCTTCGTCGTGTGGCCTACGTCCCCCCTTCCCTTCCCCTGTTAATAAGGTATATAAACGCTCAAGGCACGTCCAGCTCCAATGGCTTTCCATTTCGGCTCAGAAGAAAATCCAAACCCTTCGCCTTCAAGACTGGCAAGATCTGGCCTCTGCCCACCCCTCTGACCCTGCGCCCCCCACACTCCCTGCTCTCCGTCTTCACGTCTCCCATGCTGAGTCTCCTTCTGTTCCTCCAACGAGCCGACCCTGTTCTCAGCCGCAGGGCCTTTGCATCAGCTGTCCCGTCTGTCACAGAGTCCCTTCCTCGTCTCAACATGGCTGGCTCCTCATTCTTCCGGCCTTCTCCGCTCCCCGCTTCTCTCACTGACCCCGTTTCCGTACTCCATCCCATCACTAGATTCATTTTGCTTCTTAGCATTACTACTACACCGAAGCATCTTGCTACGCTCTTCGCGGATGGGCCGGGGGCCATCGGGTGCTTGGCAAACGCCTATTAAATGACTTCACGTCGTGGGGGCCCTCCTCCCCGGTTCGTTCAACCCTGGACAGCACTCCCCACCCACCATTTCTCAAAGGGAAGGGAGGCAGGGAGAGCCGCACCTGGATGCCGACCTGTTGATTTCTTCATGCTTTGAGGCTGAGCAGGTGCCACAGGTATGGTGGCCGTGCTTGCAGGCCGGATCTGAGTCACTCACTGCCCCGAGGAAAGCCACATTCAGGCCTGTGCGTCCTCCCACAGGCCTTGGTGTGGTCAGCATCCTCGCTGCACCCAAGGGCGACCTTGTTCCTTAGTGCAGAGAAGGGAGCTTGAGAAAGGGAAGCTCTGAGCCAGGTAGGATTCATCTATTCATTCATTTGTTCATTCATTCATTGAACAAATATTTATGAAGGACCTGTTATGCCCCAGTCACTGTCCTAGGCCCTGAGGGATACAAAAATGACCGAGTCTTTCATTCTCCTGGATCTTTCATTCTAGCTGGGGAGACAGGGAATGACAAGGAAAACAATGCCGAAGCTCACAGTGAACAATAAGGGCTAGGTCGTGTCGGGAAGCATAATCAAGGAGCTCTTCTTGGAGGCGGTGGCCTTGAAGGACGAGAAGGGGCAGTGCACGCAGGTGCGAGGCGAGCCTGGCAGGTGTGGGTTACGGCTGCTGCTGGTCTCCCAACATCATGTCCCAGGGCCCACGACCCAGGGATGTTTGGACAAGTAGGAGGACTAAGGGTGACAGCGCGTTCGCGGTGGCCGAAATAGCTCAGTTGGGAGAGCGTTAGACTGAAGATCTAAAGGTCCCTGGTTCGATCCCGGGTTTCGGCAGTTCCCCTTTTCTTCCCCCGCACCCCCATGGGGAGGGGGAAATAGGAGGGCAGTGAACGAATGAAGCTGACCCTTTCCCAATTAATAGAGATTTTACTTTCTTTGTTTAAAACAGCCCGAGCAGTATCCAGGGGCAGCCAGAGGGAGTGGGGACTTCCCGGAAGCTCCCCATCTGGGGAAATTCAACGAGGGCACGTGTTTCCTTCACTCCATTTCTTTTGTCTCGTAAACGCTTATTAATCTGTTACATGTTCGTTGATGTCTGTTCGCTAGTTTTTGCTGTCTGTTATTAATTTCTGCTCTCTGAACGCTTTGCCGTTAAATCAAGCACCGAGCAGGAAACGGACGCTTTAAGATGGAATTAAGATAAGTGCGGCTTTTTGTTCTTTGGTTTCGTAGGAAAAGAAAGAGTCGGTTGCCCTTCGAGGCGTGTGAATAACTAAACATGCTTTTGAAGGAGACAAAAGGAAAAAGAAGCGAGACCTGGGTTTGGAGACGCCGGGGATCGAACCCGGGGCCTCGTGCATGCAAAGCACGCGCTCTCCCACTGAGCTACATCCCCCTCCCCTTCCGGGGTCGCGACATGGGAGGTCACACTTTATTCTCATTTGTCTTTGTTTCTTTCTTTCCGGGGGTCAGCACTTCCGCCGATTCATGCGGGTCTCTCCGCAACCCCCCGGCGAGCCCACCCACCTGGCACGTCGCTTGCGGAGGCCCAGCCGGGAGCGGACGGGCGCGGTAGCCGGATCGCGTTTCTATATGAATCTACCCGGAGGAGTCCGCGCAGCGCTCGTCCTCGTTAGTATAGTGGTGAGTATCCCCGCCTGTCACGCGGGAGACCGGGGTTCGATTCCCCGACGGGGAGGCCGCTGGCTTTTTATTATCCTTCTGCATTTTTTTTTCGTTTCTCTTTTAAATAAATCAAATTCTTTTACTTTTATGGAAATTCCTTACTCTTCTTAGAAAGATAAACTTGACAGTCGCATGACACCCGCTCCTGCGGTTGTCTATCAACTCCTCAGTCCCAGTAATGCTCTAGCTCCCTAGGGTCTAACTATGGTTACCAGGAAGAACAAAACGTCCTCGCACAGAGGCCTTATTTTCCATTTCCTGTATGCTCGCAGCGCCGCTGTAAAGTGTTTGGTTTATACAATGGTTTCCCATAGCAAGACTGTCAACTTCTAGAGCCAGGAAGTGCTCATTCTGCTGCAAATAGTCCACCTTTGCATGTCTTGCTCTGGCCCAGAGGTTGGCCCTCAGAAAATGTTTATGGATTTGAGACAGGAGGTAGGTAGGGTGATTCTACGCTGACAGGTTTTCTGGTCTTCATTGCAGACTCAACTTCGTGGATATAGCTATCATCCTTCCCAGGCTCCTATTCTTTCATTCATTTATTTATTTATTCATTTATTTTTTTTCACATTCGTTTGGCAAATAGTGACTGAGTACTTATTAAGTGCCATGCGTCCTTCTAGGCACTAGGGACATCGCAGGAAACAAGATGGCGAGACCCTGTGCTCCTGACCTTACGACCTGGTGAGGGACACAGACAAACGGTATAAAACAGGTTTCGAGAGTGTCGGTGCCATGAAGGAGAACAAATCAGAGGAGTATGTTAGGGATTACGTGGGGGTTCTTAGGCCTCTTTAGAGAGGTGACGAGAAGGCCTTTCTGAGGACCTGGACACTGAGGAGCCAATCATGACAAAATCTGGGGGACAGCATTCTAGGCAGAGGGACTGGCACATGCGAAGGCCCTGCTGTGAGAAGGAGGCTGGCATGGCTGAGGAACAGCAAGCAGGCAGGTGTGGCCGGCATGTCCCCAGGGGAGAAGGAGAGGAGTAAGGGACGGCATTAGCAAGGTCCACGGGCCAGGTCACACAGGGCCTTAACGGCCAGAGGAAGGAGCTTGGGTTTTATTCTAAGAGCTGTATGCAGAGAGGAAATAATAATCGAGTTTGTTTTGAGCAGAGCAATCTGACGAGAGAGCTCACAGGGGCATCTGCTGATCTGAATACAAGCCCTTAGCTCCTCCAGATTCAAAATACGGCTGTCTATGGCACCATCATCCTTCTGTTCTGGCCAACATCTCTCTTGACTGCCCCCCTGAGCTAAAGTAACAAGGACAGCAGACAGCTTGCGCAGGAGCCCCATTTGGCACTTCACCCCATGCCCTCCTATGTGCCCCGTTTCACCGAAACAGCATCAGCAAAGCATCAGTTTGCGCCTGGGGTGAATATGAGCAGCAGCGGCCCTTCGCCGGAGCTCATATAATGACGGCATTCATCATGATAAGAACTCACGTCTCAGAGCTTGAACCTTGTACCAGGCTTTGCGCTAAACCTTCGGTGTCACTGGTTCAGTCGTCACAACCACCCTGTGAAGTAGGTACCAGTCAAACGGGTACCTACTTCAGTTTACAGAGGAGGCCCTGAGCGGTCCGCTGACGAAACCCCAGCTGCTGGGTCCAGTGTCCTGTGCACCAGTTCGTTTAGGCCTTTGGCCGTGACGTTTCAGGCAGAAGCAGGCTGTCACGCGAGGGATCTGACTGGAGACCAAAGGTGGCAGGACATACTGGGACGTGTCCTCCCAGACATAGGAAATGACTCTATCTCCTGCCAGGACATCACAAGCGCTGATGGGAGGAGGTGTAGCCTCCGTTTTCTGCCCTCTCCTGACCCCTCACCTGTTCCTTCACCACAGAGTGGCCCCTTGATGACCAGAAAGACAATGCACACTGTGACTTCTCTGCCCTGGTGTGCTTCGACGAGAAAGACAGGCTCGCGGACAGGCAAAGCGCAGCTCTTTCCAATGAGCTACGGCAAAGAGACACTTTCCTCTATGATTCTGAGAGCTGGATCTGTTTCTATTTAGTTTGCTTCTTTTTATATTCGGGAGAGTTCTTTGGGATGGAAAAAGTCTTCAAACAGATGTGCAAACCTCAGAGTCACTGCAGGTGTAGGAGACAAGACCCCCGAGTTTTCTGGGTGGAAGTGCAGTGGCGGCAACACCCTTTTCCACTAGAAAGACAGCCTTACATTTTCCTTTCTTTCTTTTCTGTTTGTAAAGGGCAACATTCAAGAATAGGTCTGTTCCCAACAGAACGGTGGGCCCCAGGGGGGGAGGACGAAGGAGTAAAGGGGGTCAGATACATGGTGACGGAAGGAGGCTGGACTTCGGGCTGTGAGCAGATGTAGCGTTAGTTGTAAACCTGAAATGTATATAATGTTATTAACCATCGTGACCCCCAATGAATTAAAAAAAGAAAAAGGAAAAAGATTAATTCCTCGGCACTTCCACACACAAAAAAATCGGTCGGTTTCCCTTTGTTCCTTGGTTCCGGTGTCAGCTAGAATTTCATGTTAGTCTATAAAGAAGAAGCTTACTCGAAAGAAATAAAATGATTTGTTTTGATTTTCCTAAACCCTAACATTCACTTAAATATACAAAATTTATTTAGGGTGGAGAGAGGAAACTCTTAAAATTATAGCAGAGAATCTCAAAAAACCCACCTTTCAGAGGTTGGGGATGTAGCTCAGTGGTAGAGCGCATGCTTTGCATGTATGAGGCCCCGGGTTCGATCCCCGGCATCTCCATGGTTTTTCTTTACTTTTTTTTTCTCCTGGTTCCTTCTTCTGTCCACTCTATTCACCATCTAAAACGCCATGGATGCGACTATAGCCAGGTACAGCTCCATTTCCAGTCACTACTTGGAATTATCGTGGGATTTTCACGATAAGAGTGATCTGTCCTTCCTGAAATTCTTAATGCTCCGCATGTACTTTTGCTCTGAGGCAAAGTGGAGCGGTTAGCAGAATGGAAGGGCAGAACCTGACGTGAGCATTGAAACCACAGCAAAAGAGCAGAAGAATCATTTGGGAGTTACTGGACCTTCCCTGGCCCCGAGGGCTGGTGACTCCTTCCGATGACTCACACCTGGCCACAGGGGGACGAGTGTGTAAGCCAAGGGTCTGGGCATCTCCGCTGGCCTTGCCCTTCGTGCTGCCAGGAACCATTTTCAGAGGAAGCCACCCAAAAGGAAACCAACATTCCCAGCCAGTGAGGTTTTTGCTCCCTGCTTCATCAGCAACCGGTCGGGAATGAACGAACGAACGAATGAATAAATGAATGAATGAATGGCTCTGGTACACGGACTGTTTATACTTATATTTATACGCTGTATTTTATCGCTAAAAATAAAAGCTATGTTTTATTGAAAGAAGGGATCTCTTTGCATCCTGTGGGTTCAATTCTTTGCAATAATAATGAATTCCTCATCCATCAAATCCTGTTTTATTTGTTTCAAATCGTAAAAACACCTCATCTTAGATCTGGAGGGAGATGACTCTCTGCAAAGCCTTCCTTTTCCTTTTCCAGATAAAACTGAAATTCGTGAAATGATTCACCAGTTGGGTGGTGGAGTGTTGGTGATGACTCCTGTTTGTAATGCGCTTCCATGAAGGTTACTTCTCCCTAAAGGTCGACAAGTTTTTAAGAAAAAAATACGTTGGAAAAACAAATACATTGAAGTTATTTCTAAAATGATCAGGCTTAACACGAAACTAATTATATGATGCTTGTTTTACTTTGATCTCATAATTAAATATTTCTAATAGCACAATGACAAGGAAAATAAAATACTATAAGGAAAAACATAACATAAGGCTTGTGGTAGGAAATGGAGCTTCTTAAAAAAGTTGTTGTGACTCTTTGGGGAAAAATGTTTTTTCAAAGATGGCATTTTATTTTACATTTGAAAAAACAAAGCTCATTGTATGAGGTACCTAGAAGAGTCACATTTACAGAGACCGAGAGAATGGTGGCCGCCACAGCCTGGGAGGATGGGGCAATGGAGAGTTGTTTAATAGGTACAGAGTTTCAGTTTTGCAAGATGTAAACAGTCCCGGAGGGGGATGGTGGTGACAGTTGCGTAAGTGTGAATGTGGAAGGGTAGCAGCATATGCCATCCCCAAATATGCCGCTTCAGTGTTATTTTGAGCTGTAGGCACTTGAAAAACAGCAAATGCCAAGAGTGTCTTTCACTGCATCGCATTATGTGCCTAAGGACAGGTCCCCAAAGGGATCTCGATGGTCACAGATCCCCACCCTGGGAGTTTAACCAACCGGGGAAGACTGACTTTTGTCACAGGTCGGAGACTAGGAGTGGGCACCAAACTTTATCACAAACTATCGTATCTCCCATCCATTCTTTTTTCCCATTTGTCTTTCCTAAAAATCATTCCCTTGCTCCTAAGAGGCCCCTTCCCTTTCCCGTGGTATTTAAGTCTAAACTTAAAGCCACATCTTTGTTACTCATTTACCTCTGGTATCTCCCATGTACACCTGAGGTAAGACACATTAATAACCCGAGTTTTTTCCTCTTTCATTTCATTTTGACTGTCTTTCCTTACAGAGGTCTCGGCTAAGAACTCAGAAGGGTAAAGGGAAAATTATTTTTCCTCCTCTGCCATACACTTAACACTACTGAACTGTCCACTTCTAACTTGTTAAGATGGTAAATTATAGGTTATAACTTGCCACAATTTAAAAAAAAAAAAAGCCCCCAATAAGTTAGGAGATGAAATTGGTTATTTTTAAGCTGGAAAAGTCTGTGTTCTGCCACACGATGTACATGCACAAATGTAAACAGGAAAAAGAACACAGTCCCTTGGACTGTCGTGCCCTCCCCGCCCCCATAAGCTGCAGATACACTTGACTACCTTTCATGGTTATATAACAGATGACAAAGCAAGGCAAGCCTTTTCCATCCAGTTCTCTGATTTCACCCTTTCTCTTGGGGGGAAGTGTTTGCCAGTCAGGTCATTGTGTTCTCGGACATTCTCATGATGCTTAGTTAAGTCCCATACAAGGCTGTGACCTTCAGAGGAACTGAATCCTTTGGGGGTGAGAAAGAAAAGGAGACAAACAGGAACCAGTCCAATCCCTCCCCTCCCCGCCCCCCCAGCCACTCCCCGCAGCAGCCCAACACCCAGGCCTTTTGTGAGCTCAGCCCATCACGTGCTCCAGTCTGCCCGCCAATCTGGTCTTGTTGCTGGGCCTCTGTCACTGTTCTATTGGTGCCAGCTCTGAAGCAGTTTCTTCTGGGGCGCCTGCAAAGGACGGATCTGTGGAAGGAAGGAACTGAAAATGGATCCAATGACTCACTCTGCTTCTCGCACATTCTAGCACATTGCATTTTAGGTCAGGGGATTTTAGGATTAGGAGCGTGACCTGATACCCAGTTCCCGAGACCCAGTGGGACATTTAGACTTTGGGAGCCCTTCTCAGCAAATAGAAAAGCAGTTGCGACAACAATGACAACAAAAACCCTCTGCAGACCAGCGATTCTCCACCTCCATTACTGATGTTAGGGGCAAGTTCATTTTGTGTTTTGGGGGACAGTCTATTGTAGGGGGTTAGCAGCCTCCGTAGCCTCAACCACTAAGTGCTAGTAGCACCCCCCCCCCTACCCCCCTCACACAGTTGTGACAACCAAAATGTCTCCAGACTTTGCAAGCTGTTCACTGAAGGGCCAAATCACTCCTGCTCGAGAACCACTAACTTAGAGAAACACCAGCCACTCTCTTTGGGGGAGATCCCGTCTCCTCTCGCCCTCTGTGTCCTTGAACAAATGTTTACTTGTATTCACTGCCACAAAACACATTGTTGTTCTTGGGGAATGCAGGGGCATTTCAGAAAATTTTCTGCTAGAAACAACACCTGTGTTCTCCCCAGCTTATGAGAATCTCGTCTTTCTCTTTGGGGATAACCCTGGGCCCATTCCCCACTCTCTGACACCGTTTCCTTCCTCCTCTTCTCCCTCCCCTGCCTCTAAAGTCAGGGCTGTTTTCCTCTTTACCTTTGGACTCTGAAAAAAGCTATGTCATAAAGCTTGTGACTCAGCCTTTAAACACCGTGAATCACAAGGCTTGCAGCAAAACAACAGCCAAAAGCAAACAGGGTGTGGTTAGAAACTAGGTCTGCTTACCTTTGAAAGAATTTCTTATCTTTGTTCCTCTAAAAACTTCTGAAATTCTGGGAGAAAGAACCTTACATAGAGCCTCAAAGTTTTGTTCCTTTACAACTTCTTTCCAAAAATTTAGAAAGAAATAACCTTGACAGAAATCTTTATTGGAAGTCACTGACTGCCGTCTCCTGCTACCTTGAAAAACGACATTTTATTCGTTTTAATTTCCAGTAACGACTTTGTTCTTTGAAAAATATTAACAAGTAGAGATTAAAGTCTATTTTGAACAATGCTCAGACCTTTTGCATAAATACATATATACAATGGTTACCAAAGAAAATATATAGTTTTGTTTTGATTTCACATATTAAGCTTAATGTTTAAATAACTTAAGGTTCACAGTTTAAACGAGGAATGTAGCCTTTTCCTAACAGCAAAAATTTTTGTAGTCATTTTTTTTGTAGCCTCTTTAAAAAATTCTTTTTTCTTCTTGAAGGCCTTCAAGGGTACAAATTAAAATATACCTTGCTCTCCATATTTTTAGAATTAGGGAATATTTCTCGAAGAGTCTAGAAGAAACAGTGGCTGGGAAATTGAGGCTATGAGGGAGACTTTTCACCAAAAACATTTAAAAACCTGTTTTAAATTTTCACCACGTTCACATATTTTAAAACTTGAAAAAACATACCGAAGAAATGACTCACAGAGATCACAAAATAGATTGTTGTAAAAAAATGAAAAAGATCTGGCTGGCGATCCCTCCTCTCCTCTTTTACCCAAATGGAATGTACCTGTAAAATTATATTTCATATTTGAGCTATTGAACATATCCCCTCCCCCTAAATATACAGGGTTGCGAGTCAATTAGTGTCTTTTAAAAGTCTCAGGCTTAAACAGGTTCGATTTCCCAGCTCAGAGCTGAACCACCTTCTCAAAACCAAGGTTGCGCCGATCAAACTGGAAAAGTAAAGAACAATCCAGAAAGTTCCAGCGGCGAGATTTAGGCCTTGGCCAGCGTCCAGGCCCCAAGCCGAGATTCGCCGAGTCATTCACCTTGTCCCAGTGCCCGCCCGGTGGGGGATGGGCGTGGGCGCCATGAGTCGGGGGGGCTGCGGCCCCGGGGAGCCCTCCGGGCAAGCCGGGGGGTGGGCGAGAGTTTAAAGAAACAGAAACTGGAGCTTTATCTTAAATGCGACCCGAAATAAAGACCT